CCCAGCTCTGTGAAATATGTCCTCCATGATCTCAGACAAATCATTCAGGGCTGTGCTTTCCCCCACTGCCTGTGGAGGATGCCAAGATCCCACAGCCAAGGACAAGAGAGAGTCAGTTTTTCTCACCACTCTTGAAATTAGTTCACAGAGCCAGGGTATGTCCCTTTCTATGTCTGAGCACTCCATTTCCAGAGCAGGCTCCTACTAAGGTACCACAAGGCCACAAAGTGCCATAGGAGTCATTCCTATAAGTACAGCTTCGGATTCATTCTCCCCTGCTCTTGTGGAGCAATCCCTCCTAAGCAGAACATAAGTCCAAGATGTTTTCCACAGTTATCATCAAAATATTTTTTAAAAAGCAATTTAATGAGATGACACCCACACTCTGAGATGAAATTATTCTAGATTACCATTTTCCCTCCCTCAGTGCCTACTCCCTTCTTTTCTGGCAGGATTTAAGCAGCTAATATCTATATGACTGCTAGGAGTTAGGAATTATATAATGAACCAAATCATAAACAATGGTGCCTATTAATACCAGGTGAGGATCAAACCCTTGCGCCTTCCCCATTTGAAAGCTGTGGTAATGAAATTTCTCGTGGTGTATAGCTTTGGACTGAATGGAAAACACTCCGTAGGCAGAGTCAGCCAAAATCTTTCTGGAACTGAAATGGATGAGGAAGGGCCAAATGGACATGAGGACGGTGCTTCAAGAGATAAATAGTATTACAGGGACAGAAAAGCAGACAGGAACAAAATGGTCCAGACAGGCATCATCATCACTGAGATCAGGTTTTGGCCAATTTTCCAGGGGATGTAGAGCAAATAAGGGTTGAATGCTGATCTGGAAGCTGCCATTGAAGGGAGGGTAGTAGCATATTAAGATCTTTGGATGGAAAGTGTTACATATACTTCCTTAAAATAATATTTTCATTTTAGTTAATTAGCAAGTATTACTATACATTTTATTTATTAACTACATTTTATTTTTGAAAGTCAGGCAAAAATATAAGCTGTCTGAAGACCGTCTCCCACTTTCAGTATTTTACCTATCCAAAAGCCACTCTATCCCTTGTCATTCTCTTATTGGGACTGAAATGAAAAAACAAAAATGGCATGTGACATCACAGTTTAGGTGGAAATTTCCATTTTTTTTTCTGTATTAATATGTTGTGCTTCAAATCTCTGTTAATTATTTTTCCTTGTTTAAAGCAGGGTTTTGTTCCTTTGGAGGGATGATTTATTGTAAGTGGCTGTGAAGAGACATTAGGAGAGCAAATAGTCCTTTGGGAACAAAGAGTCACAACACAGAAAAACAGCTGTTGGGACTATAACAAAGAGTCTAGTGTGCCAACATGCATCAACAAAATTCAAGATAGGGAAAAAAAGGCCAGCATCCTCATTTGAAAAAAAAGAACAAACCAAACCAGAACAAAGATGTAAACATCTGAAATCTGGCAGATGGATCAGAGGTGTATACACCAGAAGAGGAGAAATTGTCGTGTGTGGGAGGGGGTGAAAATGGAGAAGGTGCTTCTGTTGTATCTTTGGGAATCAGAATAAATCAGTACCATTTGAGAAAGCACAATGACAATTAAACTGGATAGCTATGGAGCATTAAATTTATTGTCAAGGTAAGCAGTGGGAGAACCAAATCATCCACTGATGTAAAGTCAGTGGTGCTAGAATGGATTACTAACCCCATGATTTATGTTATGATTCAGATAGCAACAACATTGTTCATACATATTTTGGATTATTTTGCAATATATAACATTACACCAGTAAAGTATTTTAGTGCAGTCTGTTCCAGCTGATGATCAGGATAATCTATGGAGGCTGTCCTGTAAGCTCTAACCCATGGCTATAGCTCAGCTCACTATCAGAAAACTCTGAAATGCATTTAAAAATGTATTTTTTGTTAGGCTGAGTATTTGTAAGCTGCTTTTTGGCAACAATGTCTGACAGAAGAGGACCCAATCTCCCTTACCTTGGGATCATCCTGGGAATGAAGGGTTCTCATCCATTTAAATAAGGTAAAAACAGTAGAAAACTTTAATGAATAAGTAGCATAATTTTTGACACTAAAGGCTTGAGGATTCTATAAGAAAATCCAAATGGCCAGACTATCTCCTTGGTCTAATCTCATTTTCTTCTGAAGCAGACTGCAGTTGACCTTTCAAGAATTTGCCTTATTTCCAAAGAAACTCTTTGGTGGAAGTGAGAGTCAGAAAAGGAGTGGAGGAAGGGGCAGTTTTACTCCCATAAACTCACAGAAAATGGATGAACCCACTGAGAGAGTGGTCACAGTTAACTGCCACAAGTCCTTGACCCCGTTAGAACAGGCCCAGAGAAGGGCCACAGAAATGGTCAGAGGAGTGCAACATCTCTCCTACTAGGAAAGACTAAGAGAGTTGGGGTTCAGCCTGGAGAAGAGGAGGCTCTGGGGAGATCTTATTGCAGCCTTTCAGTACTTAAAGGGGGCTTCTAAGAAAGGTGGAAGGAGACTTTTTTACTAGGTCCTGTAGTAATAGGTCAAGGGTTAATAGTTTTAAACTGAAAAATTATAGATTTAGATTGGATATAAATAACATTTTTACAATGGGAGCAGTGAGACACTGAAACAAGTTGCCCAGAGAAGTTGTGAATTGGAAAATCAGGCTGGAAGGGGATTTGGGCAACCCGATCCAGTGAAAGATGTCCCTGCCCGCAGCACCGGGGGCATGGACCAGATGATCTTCAAAGATCCCTTCCAATCCAAACCATCCTGTGATTCCATAATTTTGTGATTCTAAGTCACAGGAGCCCCAAAGGTGTTCCAGGTCATACTGGGCCCTGAGCTACAGCTGGTGTAGACCCCAGGTAAGCTCCTTACTTCCACCCCTCTGTTGAGCACCCTTGAGCATAAACAGACTATTTACTGTACTACTGGCTGCTAAAACTAGAGAGGGAACCAATTCTTACACTACACTCCCCCAATGACAATGTCACACTTTAATCCATGTAGCTTCCCTAACTAGCTCGTGGAGGCAATTGTAACTAAAAGCATGATTTATGCGAGAATATGCTAATTCCACCATTAATTTGAGACCTTAAGCACAAAATATTGGCCTGTTTTCCCCATGGCCTACATGAATTTTACATCAGTGGAATTAAGCTGATACCGTTGGAGTTATCCTAATTTGGTCTAATAAAGACAGGAGCAAAGCAAATAACTGTTGCTTTATTTTTATATGTGCAATCCATCTTTAATACAACTGTTTTCTTTAAGAATTGACTAACCTGCACCCTTAGATTACCCCTAAAATCTACAGGGCATTTTTTTTCTAGGGTCATCTGCACTCCCTTATACCTTGTCAAAGGCAGCCAGCTTTCTTTCCTCCTGGCTCTGCCTTCCCAAGTTTTCCCAGGCTGATCAATCACCAGATACTCTGCCCTGCAGGTAGCTCTTCTCAACTCCAGCTCCACAGCAAATACAGCAAGAGGCTGCTTAACAAACTCTCCTTTGTATCACCCACAGACAAGTCTAGTGCACATTGCTGTTAAGTGAAAAGCTTATCTCCTGCCACAAATGTCCTTTAAGCAAATATGAGGAAACTCTCTGTGTTCAGATTTCAGGATCTCACCCTGGGACTGCAGCTGTGGCATCTAAAATGTAGGTTTTATCAATGGCATGCAAACTCAAAAACCAGGGAACTTGGGCATCCCTTGTGCTGGTTGACTTCCAGGTCCTGCAATGTAACTTTGAGAAGACCCTGGACAAAGAAATGGACGAAAGCTGCTGCTCTCCCCTTTGTTTGATATGAGAACGCTGAACTCCGGGCGAGTAGCTGAGTGAAATGCTTGTTTTGCTATAAATAATTCATAACTTTCCAAACAGCTTTCTTCAAATACAATAAAGTATGTCTTTCACTGAGAAATTCCCTTTTTAATTTTTAAAACCAATTTTTCTTTTTCAGAAATTAGAAAGAGAGAGACATCAGTTAAGCAGTGGGGCTTTTTGTTTGCTTGTCTGTTTTTGTGATGGCTGAAAAATTGGATGGATCTTGATCTTTCTTCACATACATTTCACATTGGAACAGACCTTGATCTTATTTCACACAAGTGTAACTACACAGACTTCGATGACAGCCTCTTGCTAATTATGTCACTGAAATGTAAGAGATTCACTGCACCATTTTGCTCATACATAACAGCTTAAGCAGCTTTTCTTCTAACACTTGTAAAAACAAATTCTAGGTAAAGTACAGGAATTAAAAATGAAATTCAGTACTAGGCACGCAGGAAAGTTACAAGATACTGGAAAAAAAAAGAATTTGGAATAAAAAATATCTCTTTTCAACCTAAACACCAACCCTGACAGATTAGATTCATCAAACACTTTATTCATAGGTAGTTTCCCAGGAAGATGTATTAAGTTTCAATGGGAAATATTTTGAATGAGGTTTTGTTAAGTAGAAAATACCCCTGATGTTGGTGGAGTTTTGGGGTTTTTAAAATCAGGTTTACAGTCAGCACAGGGCCTAATTCAAGGAAAGTTACACATTGATAGTATGGGTGATACAAGCAAATCAAACAGCTGTTAATATAATAAGTGTAAATCTACATACTTAGGAGGCTGAAGTGTAGCTCCTGTTAGGGTTGGAAAAAAATTACTATTATTTTTGCTTTTGTCATACTGGTCTTGAAGTTACGGGATGCTGGAACTCCCACATCTCTGTAAGACAACTTTACAAAGTGTATTCTAATAGTAAATTGATACAATTGTGTATCAATTGTCAATTAATCAGATTGCCTTTCTGAAAGCTTGAATATGTGCATTTAAGATGTCAGTGACTACCTTATCTTAAATGCACCCAATCTGAAATTTTTTGACTGGTATCCTCCTATATATGAAGCACACAGAGCAATTTTATTGCTGTATAAAGTTCAGAAATGCATTCCTATAAGCTTCATATACGTATTCAATCTTTCTTTTATATATTTGCTTTTTCTTTTAGTAAGTGATGGAATAACAACACTTTCCTTTGGATGGATTATGCTACATGTGAACTGCTTGTTACTCCTCCTGCAAAAATAAGAAAAGCCCTTCACTTTAATTTGTTAAATATCAGCTTGAAAGCAAAAAGCTTCTGAATGGCTCACGCTCATAGCAGACCATCCATTGAATGGGATCAGCACTTCTCCTACTAAAATATCTGAAGTTAAAGATTTGGAAAAGAGGTTTTTGCAGAGATGACCCATTTACAAGCTGGACTTAGTCCAGAGACTATAGAGAAAGCCCGCCTGGAACTGAATGAAAACCCAGACATTTTGCATCAGGATATCCAACAAGTCAGGGACATGATCATCACAAGGCCTGATATTGGGTTTTTACGTACAGATGATGCCTTCATCTTGAGATTTCTTCGAGCCAGAAAGTTTCACCAAACTGAGGCCTTCAGACTGTTGGCTCAGTACTTCCAGTATCGCCAATTAAATCTGGATATGTTCAAAAACTTCAAGGCTGATGATCCAGGAATCAAACGGGCTCTGACAGATGGGTTCCCGGGAGTACTGGAAAATCGTGACCACTGTGGCAGGAAGATTCTTCTGCTTTTTGCAGCCAACTGGGATCAGAGTAGGTAAATGTAGATAGTGTCCTTATCTTTTTACATACACTCACACTCAGCTTGTAATGGAATATTTGTGATCATATATAGCAGCAAGGCCATTTTCAGTAAAGTATTTTGCAACCATGACTCCATTTCAGTAAAACTTTCATCACCTCTCATTCTTCAGACATAACACCACTGAGAGATAAGGGTATATCACTGTATCAGATAAGTAGCTCGTGTGTTTTTTTTTTTTTCTATAAACATTTCCAGGTTTTAGCCAAATAGTGTCTGTTTGCTATAAATACATTAATGTCTATTATATAATTGCTTCAGTAATATCATAGACTAACCAAGCAGGTTGACAGAAAGCAAATGCCTCAAAACATATGGGTGTTCTCGTAGCTCTTCTGGTGCAGAAGGAACTGACCATATTTATTCTGTCTCCAGACTTCTTAACAGATATTTTTTTTTGTTTTAACCATTTCATGAATTACAGCCTGTGTTATGAGATTTCCACAAACTGCATTGTAATTTCTACACACTCTGGTTACTGTACGCTTGTTAGTCTGATAAATGAGAGATTCATGCAAAGTGTATTTTCTGTTCAGGTCATTTCTTTACAAAATGGTATGAACAAAGACATCTCCCAGCCATTATTATAAAATTATATCCTTAAATGTTAATGCTGTTAGTCAGCTTTTACTACAGAGATACAGAGAAAAGGGGTTAGTCCAGGAATATCATGTTCACATTGCCCTCTTTGTCAGAAGTCATTCCATTCCATTTTCCCTGCCTTCACAGTAAGATGGAGAAATGTAATCAACTATAGGATTGCCTTATGTTCTTCTGATTTTTGACAAAAATCAGACCGAAGAACAAAATTCAGATTCAGGTTCTGAGTATCATAAATTCTCATGAGTTCCAGGTAGTATTTTTTTCTTGATATGGTCTAAAGTTGTCCATGAAAGTGTCTCATCCCTAGGAGTCAATAGATTGGAGCTATGAATTTATGTTATAGAAATTATTAGAGAAGAATATATATATGCCTTCAATTTTTCATGTTAGATGTTTTCTGTGAAAACCTTTCATCTCCATGTGAAAACAGAGTTCAGAAGTGTTTCTAATTTTCCTTTGTGTGTACAGATCTGGTAAATAAATGTACAGAAAAAGTTGCAGAAATGTAACTTTACATATACAAAAGTGTTTGGTCAAATCCAGAGGTGAAGCCAGTGATGAAAGTCCTATTGACTGCAAAGGGTCCAACAGTTTACCTCCTGACTTTTTGAACTGTGATCTTGCCTTTCTTCCAACCGCAAAACCCTTCCTTTAGCAGTTGGCCTGGAAAGAAAGATGAACAGGTATCTTGAATTGATGGAAAGTATCAGCTTTAGATGACAGAAACACTGTGACTCTACTGATTGCATTAGGGGATTTAGATATTATATAGACACAGCTTTGGGTTTCTGATCCCTCAACAAAATTAATCCTTGTGATTAACCTTGTGCACCAGGTCTTGCTCCTGGAAAGCTGAGTGCTGCTGTCTAAGGCTTGTGCAATGAGATTTTGACAGAACATTGATTCCTGTCAGATCTTCGCCCAAATTTTCTGCATGTCCTTTAATACACATCCATATATATGTGCATATGTGTGTGTGCAAAACCCAAAGTGCTCATGCATGCAAGGTACCTTGTTTCTGAAAATGTAATTTTAACCTTCAAAGAAGAAAGGCCGAGCCAAATAGGATAAGGTATACTTTCCTAAGGCTTCTCAGTGAAATTAAGTCACATGCAAATTTTACCTCTGTTCGGCCACTGAAGTTCAAATCCACTATGGATTCGAATGACAAGAAGTATAATTTCTATGGGCTCCAAGTGCAACAGGGATTTGGGACAGGAATTGAACTGTAAGTAAATAGAGGGATGACCTCTTCCTTTTTTTACTGTCTAAATGTGTCAGTAAGAGCAAAAGCTGCTAAGAAACAGAAAATGAGTGCAATGTCCTATTAAGCAACAGGGAAGCAGGTTATCAACCAGAATAAATATATATTCCTACATATTTCACAAAAACCCTCAAACATACAGGCACTGTATATATCTTACATACATGTATCTTGGGCAACCTTTCTGTAGATGTGCCTTCAGTGATGGCAAGATGTTTACAAACTTACATTTCAGCTGAATGCTAATGCAATCAATTCATATGATACCGTGATGTTGACATGCAAGAGTAAGAGCTCAGCCTTCAGCATGCCTTTCTTAACTTTAATCTCATTTGCAGCTGGGTGTGTGTTTCTTCATGATTAAATAATAATTTATAAGGGAGGATTTATAAAGAAATAATAATTTGTGAAGGATCATTTAAAATCAGCATAGCTATAATCCATAAGCTGATTTTCAGTCCAGACATTCTTACCTTTTGTACTCCTGGGAGTATGGTGGCTTTAAGGATCACATGTCAAGGAGGCAGAAGCAGCCTCAAAACTTTTTGGTCTTACAAATATACTGTTTTTTAAAAGGAAATGTCATTATTTGTGTAATGTGGCTGCTTGGACAAATCAGATCCAAGATGTTTTTAAGGGATTTCCTGTACCAAAGTTAAAACTTCTATATGAGCTTTAAGAAACATTTGTATTTTAATTTTCAAGAATGTGATAGATCTAACATCTCTAGAAAACTAGCTTTTAATTTCTCAGTGTTTCCAGCTTCAGCTTCCAGTTGCTGGATTGTGTTAGTTTAAAGGGACTACAAAAATATGACAGCTTCCCATGTTTGTATTTTTGTGTCGTGGCCATGTAATCTTTTAACCTACTTTTGAATTCACTGAGGATGTGGCACCGTAGGGTAAGTAACTGTCAAACAACAAGAAGATAGTGCATTAGCTACTCTACAACAGTGGTTCCTGTGTTCACTTTTAACAATGGTGAATGTAAAACAGCTAACCCCCTTTCCTTTGAGGACAAAAGAGCCTTGTGTTGTCCACAAGGTAAAGAACATACTTGTTGGCAGCCGTCATAGCAAAGATAATGTTCTGCGAAGTATTGCAGTCGCTCAGTGTCTTGCAATAGATTAATGCTGACAAACCTTAAGTAGATTGAACTTCTTTACTCTCAGAACTGGGAAGATTTTTCATGTTGCTAACACTCTTCATCTTACTTTTCTGGACCTTTCCTATCATTTTAGCACTGTTGTGAATGTGTAGATGGATGAACTGAATACAAACTTCCACTAATAAACCATCATGTGATAACACCATCTCTTCTGTTCAGTAGTTCCCTCTTTTTAGATATAAGATTGTCACTGTTTTCTTAGATACTCTATCACATTTTGAGCTCATGTTCAGCTCAAACCTGCTTCCAAGTCACTGCTTCCTAAAATACAAACATCACTGGTAAATGTGTCATACATTCTCATCCATAATGTGGGCACAGTCTAGCATGTGATTCACACTCTTCTGCAGAGCTAAACCTGTCCTCCTCATCTATTAACATTGCATGGGTTTTGTGACATCTGCAAAGTTCACTGGCAAGGATTTTATTTTTGCTTCCACATCACTGAAAAAGGTAATTATTACTGTTTTGACCAAAACCTCCTTGATGACTAGGAAAAAAAAAGCCACAAGGAATGATAATTCTTATTGCCAAATCACTAGATGAGGTCTATCATGGTGTCAGGTTTTCATTCATTTGTCATGTGCTGCACTGGTTTGATTTTGCTCTATTTTTTTAGACAGGTTTCTTAGAGGTGATGTCATCACTTTCTCTCTAGGTTCCACATAGTATATTTTGGATCTGTTAGTTAATGTTAATCACATATGATACAGAACAGAAAACTTCAGAGGTATTGAATAAGTGAAAATGAGCAGATGGATAGAAAAGGAAGAGATCATATTAGTTCCAAACTGAGGGAGAGGAAAATGTTGAGCTATATTACTGTACACTAGAGGATCCATGCATGGGAGGGCCATCATTCACTTTGATCAGAGCTCAGTCCTCAGAGGTGCCGAATAATCTAACTACAAGGTGTGAACTCACCCAAAACCCTCAAAGGCTTCACATATACCACTGCTTACAGAGCACCTTATATTTAAATGGAAATCATAGAGTAATAAAGTCAGATAAGGATGTCAAACTGATCTTGTCAGGAACTTTTTTTATAAAACAACTTGCATCATAAAAAATCCCAGTTTGTAAAACAAGTATATGTGTACATACAAATGTACAGTTTTGATGAGACCTTAACCAGGATTTCACATAAAAACAAATGTTTTGTCTGCTGGATTACAAATACTCTTCCTCACACTTTTCCATTTCAACAGTCTCACCAAACCTAAGCCCTCACTCCTCTGATGCACCTCTAGTGATACTGAAGCTTTTAAAGAAGTCAGATAAGAGTGCCTTTTTGACTGTTAGATTGAGGAAAGCCTTCACTAACTATTGCAGCTCTTCCTAGGTCTGGTACTGCCGCCTAATAGATCTTGTTCATACACTGGGGAGATGGGGGTTGGGGTGAACAGGTAATTCAGCACAAGGTGTTCATTAGTCTTCCAAGTAAAGATATTTTCTTCAAGGCTGTTCAGCCAGAGTAAAATTTATTTCTGTGGAGAGAGCTAGCAGAAGGACTATCTGCAATCATGATCCTCTGCGAATAGGGTCTTGGTGTAGGGGAGCAGAAGTCTGCCCATTGTCTTTTGCAGTAAAATGATAATTAATTTCTGTCTTCATGTCTGGACCACTGTGTCTTAGAAGCTGTGACATAGCTTCAAAAATTCTGTAAGTCAGACAGAAAAAGCTGCTTTATTTACAACATATATTCCCAAGTCAGCTGCTATCCATAAATTCTCTTTTATTAACCAGGGAATCTGAAATGCCAGATACTTACCATTCTGTAAGAAAGTGTATTGAGATAGGCTAAAGGGCAAGGAAATACTCTGACATAGTGGTAAACCAACAGCTATAAATATTTTAAAGCATCACAATAGAAAAAATTGTGTCCTTGCAGAGAATGCTCATAGTGGTGTAATTACAAGGA